AGCAGGCATCACAGTAGTTAATTTTTTTTAATGGGCAAATCAATATAAATCAACCGACATGATGCGGGTATGAATTTCTGCTTTCAAAAAGCGCCGCTACTTGTTTTCGGTTGCAGAATGCAGATTCCTTTTAATGAAATCATATCTTACATCTAACATAATGTATAAATTAGGTCAATTCAGTGACTTATATGAATTATTTAGATCATACATGATACAATTTAGATAAATTTTGTCGATATCATGATAATACTGTTAATAATGACATTCATTGATGGCATACAATCATTTTGCGTAAAGTTGACTAATGTATAAGAACAACGCAAGTCAAAATCTTAAGAATATTTGTTAGTGTAAACGAAGTAAAATGGATATATTGAAGAATCTTCAAGTAGAGGTGGTTAGAACAGAAAAATTTTCCCCAGCATAAAACTCAAACTGATAATTCGTTACGGTCAAGTGCCCTTCACTTACACTTTTCATCAAATTAAGGGTACCTATTTCAGGACTGTGATGTAGGTACGGCAGCTGAACGATGCCTGTCACGCTTAGGGAATTAAAATTGGGCGACATAACTTTACATACATATTGGATCACTAACTAATTAATTTATACATCAATGTCAATCAAATTTGATGTTTTACATTAACGAAATGTGTCGAAGCATATTAACAATGATATATTGACTTTTGCAATCAATACTTAATATGCTTAATGCCGTTATAATGCACGTAATCGAAGTGTTTCTTTCCTAATCGAAGTTTTCAATTTGGAGGATAAGGAACACATTTAGAACGTTGCCAATAATTAAATAAATTTTTGCAAAATAATGTTACAAAATAAAATAGGGAACTATACACATGATATTCTATAGAATGCCGTTTTACTGTTTATTCTACAATTTTACAATGTATCATTTTAAATAGCAGTCAATCTTTTGTCTCTATTTTTTAGGTATGTTGCTTTTAACTTACATACCTATTAAATATGATTGTTAAAAAATGTCACTTAATAAAAATGTTGCATCAATTAAATGAATGAATGGAGTTCATTTGACAATATGTATATTTCAACAAACAAGTCATTCAATTAATAAAACCATTTTGCTCAACAAACAAACTTTCATTCATTTTTAATGTGGAACGAAATTTAACGACAAACATAAATATGTAGTAACTAGTAAATATGTAAATTTTCGACAATCATATGAATCCTTGCTGTTAAAATCAGAAAGAATTATTTAAGATTATTGTTAAATTAAAATATTGCATGAAATAACATTTCTTTTGGTAATTTTAATTGGGCGCTAGTGTGCACGTAGTCAAATAGACTAAACGGTAGTTCCTAAAACTTCCACACAATATCAGATACGCATTAAAATTATCAACAAACATTTTAATTCAACAATCACTTTAAATAATTCTTTCCGATTTGAATAGCAAGAATTCATATGATTGTTGAATTGTTGATAATTTTAATTCTAGATTTAGAATGAATGAATGTTTATGTTTGTTGAATAAGTTTTTAGTTACATATATTTATTTTTTGTTTATGAATTCCTTTGTTGATTTGCACTGTTAAACTTTAGTTATACATTGTAACAGCCCCCCTATTAATGCCTCCCGAATGTGCATTAACTATGACAGGTTGTTGCACCTGAAGGGTTGTTGAAAAGCAGAAAAGATCTTTGAATTAAGAAAAGATTGATATCCCAGCTAGCTATAATACAATGTATGTACACTGAAAGTCATTAATGAGAACATTACCTAGATTCGGGCAACGAGTTTTTAAAGTACTGGGACGTATGGGAATCATCAGTAGCATATTCTTCTTCACTTTATTCTATGGAGGAAGCTAAACTATGGATTCTCTGAGTTTCTAAGGAAACAAGTTTACACTGTTCTTTAATTGTCTTTGTGAGGCGTGTCAATCCATTTTTAATATATCTTTCTTCTGGAAATAGATATATCAAACGTATGCTTGGGAGGGTAGACCTGACCTTACGATAGGAGAGGTGGAAGGTTAGCTATTAGGAGGAAGATTGGGGCAATTTGATGCAACGTGTCCAGGGAATTTACAGATAAAACATTCCATTCTCTTTTCTTTTGTTTTTCCTCCGGGTTTTGGTATGTTCCATTTTGCAAGAATTTAAAAGAAATCTGGAAGGATCTCCATGAATCTCAAAGGGCCATTTAAATTGTGCAGGATGTTTCCAGACTAACTAGCAGGTGAATTTCATTTAATTGTAAACTAGTCAATCATGACATAATTGTTTTCGCAATGGATGGCTGTACTACCTTTGGCTAGTACTTCCCAAAAAATTATAGATAATGTAATCCCTTAAAAAATACAATTTTGTACGCAACGCAAGGGAGCTGTAAATAAATGTTTAAATGATTTAATCTCTGTCTGTCTTTACGTCTGTTGGGGTGAGATTATGTGTAAGCGTGGGCAGACGTACCTCATTTAATATTTATATGAAAAGGTGAGCGGGCTGTGGCCATGCATTAAAAGAAATGTTTTATGTCCGATGCATTTTTTTTTGTTTCCACGAAAATCCATAATATTCACTCTGAATTGGATGTCTCAATCTTGTAGAAAGTAAAGTGAAATTAAAATGCAATCCGAAGTTTCGCAAAATGCGGTAGGAGCGTGGCACCTCTTAAATATTTTTGAGGGAATGTAAAGTACAGTATTTCATATTATCATCTTCCCTTCTTGACAACTCTCTGCATAATAGATGGGCGTCACGTCCACGTGTGGTTGACTTATTATTTTTAATTTGTTTTTGCAATCTTTTGCTTAATTGGACACTGAACATACGTGGTAATTGAGTGATCGATATAATGGTAGCTAAAAATAGAGAAAAAATTCTCATTATGTGGGAATTCATACTGGTGATGAATGTTTAATGCCCTTTATTACAAATTCCTTTATAAAAACAGGGTGCTTTTCATTATAATTGCATGTTATAAGTACAGAAATTGGTGACGAGATACAACATTAAAAATGAAATATTGTCAGACTCTTAATTCACGAACTCTTAAATTTGCGAAGGTTCTCAACTACTGCCGCTATATTTAACATTTCTGTGTGGAATAATTTAC